TATTGAGATGTTTGGTTTAAAAAACTAACAAAAAATAATAATCATTAATTTTTAAATATGCCTTACCTAAGCAAAGTCAAGGGCAAATATAATTTCTGACACATGCTCCCTGCTGCATTAGAGGTGAAAGATGATATGAGGATATGAGAAGACCAGGAGAGAATAAACTAAATTTATTCTAATAAACTAAACAGGTAAACCTAGTTGTAGTTGCAGATTTAAGGGCCACAGTAAAAGACTTATCCAAGGGTTGGTCTGCCAAGTTCTTTAATTTTAACTTCCTGCTACTAGAAGCACATTCTAGGGCTAGGTTATCATTCAAACAAAGCCTAGAAGTTGCTGATTGTGATCTCCTGATATTTTCATTTTACTTATCTATTGAAATTTATCTGCCACCTACTCTTCCAATTCTAGGCAGCTTACAATATATGAGATAAAACCTTTATAAAATCCATCCATACAACCAATAAATAATAAACATTACTAAAAAAAAAACCCTAAAAACTTGTAGACCATCTGTCAGAAATGAACAAAAATCAGCTGCTTCACTTTGAAAGCCAGGTCCAGAACTCTGGAAATAGCTTGTTCTGCCTAAAAGTGTAAACTTGGAAAGAAAAAAAAATGGATTTAGATAGGTACAGCCTTCATGTGGCAGTCACTTCCCTACCAAGTGCAGGATCCACTAAAGCATTTCAAAGACTTGACTATCTACTCTCCTTTGTTGAAGGGCCTTCAAAAGAGGCTGGACCAGAAGCCTTTTAAGGTATCCATTGATCCTACTGAGATCCCCATTTGTACCTCTCTCTGGTGTGAAAATTGTTCTTTTGTTTTCACTTCTTGCTCTTTAATTAATGATGGATCTATTAAAATAGTTCATGGCTGGAACAATACTGATGCTAGAAACTGTCAGCCTTTGAGGTAGGCCAGGTCAAGAAACAGAGCAAGGATTACAGGAATGCTACTTTACTATTGTAGGGTAGAATCTTGAAAACCTCTCAGAATTTCCCTGCACCGCGTCTCATAGCAAATAGGATCCAGATGGAATTATTCTGAGTTTATTCTCCTTTCTCAGGATTGCGCTGTGTTTTGTTTTCCCTGTTCCTTCTTCAAGGTCATCTACCCATGCCTCTACAAAAACCCAAGTCATGAACAAGATACAGATGCTTCATCCGCAAATAAAGAGGTCATAGAGAGATGACATCTACAACATAGAAAAGTAAGGAATGTTGATGAGAGGGGAAGAGGAAGATGTTATTTCTCAGCTAGAAAGGCTTCTGAAATTCTTCAAGACAGATTTTTTTTTTTTTTTTTAGATTTGATCTTGTATTCCAGTAATAGTCATGGATGTAGTACAGCTTCCTTAGGATGCCTCCAAGTGTTCCTAATAAAGTTAAAACTGGGCCCAAGCAAATAATTAAGGATACAGTGGCTTTTTTGCTTACCTGAGCAAAGGTTTGGCTGTCCTTCAAGAATCCAAATGCTGATGGCCTTAGGCTTTCATCGCTCTGCAGGCCAAAAAGGACATTTCCCATCATCAAAAGACCCTACTTGTTGGTTTAAGAACTCAGCTGGATAGCTCAATTCCATCTTTTTCTCTGTGTGCCTCCATCTACCCACTTCTTCACCTTCTGGAAGCACCTGAATACTTTTTGCTGCAGTAAAAAAGAACATAAAAATCCCAAGATGTCAGATCTTCTCTTGCTGCTACAAAAAGAATCTAAGAGGAGTTAGATACAAAGTGGACAAGCAAGTAGTTGGAATCTGGTTCTCCAGTTTGCTTAGACCAATTTACTTGGTTAAATTGCCACTGGCTCGTTCTATCACCTGGAAGGCGTTAGCATGCTGATGATCTAGCAGGCTTCCTATCTCAATTGGTCTTGGGTATCGTATTCGTATTTGCTGTTTTAATCACAGTTTTAAGAGAAACCAATTCCTTAGACCAAGGAACTTCTAAAATGTAATTAGGGTATATCCCAAGTCAGCTCATGGCACACTCAAATGTCACTGTGCATTTACTATAACTCACCCTGCTCCCTTAATGGACACCGCAACAGGAAAACTAGAAAGGTTACATATAAAATATGACATTGGCTGCCCCCTCTGTAAAATTTCATGAACGTGGCGGGGTAATTGTACAATAAAAGCTTTTCCTGGAAGCACCTTCCATAAACAGGGGCAGGGCTGGTTGTGTCTTTTCAGTGGTGGCAAATGTGAGGATCAGACAAGATGGAATAGAAGTCTCTTTTCCGTAGCTTTCAGTAAAAGCCACTAAAAGCTAAACATCACAGCTATCGTACTATATTTTGTTGACCTTCTAGCTGACTATGTATCATATCTACAGATTTTAAGTATAATTAACAACTTCCACTCCACAGTTCAGCACTTTCTTTGATGGTCAAAAGCTAATCAATCTTGATCTTAAATGCTAATACAAGCAATTAAAAATAACATTAATTGAAATACTGCAGGGTTTGGTCTGTTTTTTCCTTCTATATAACCTCACAGCAATACTAATTTGCAGTAGTAATTAGTGAATTGCCCTTTGTCTTATAAAACTTTGAAAGAGAGAGAGAGAGAGAGGTGTCCTTTCAAACCCAACACAGAAGTACACAGCACTTTCAGTGAGTTTGAATTTCAGTATTTGGCGTATTTATTTCAGCGGATAAACCAAATGATTTGGAGGATGTAATTTACTAATGCAGTAACAATACTCCTTTTCTGTGGAAAAAAGATCTATAGTCTGTGTATTCTAAAATAAAATATATAAATATATCCATCAGGATAAATATTCCATCTGATGCCCTAATTAAAGCAAGCTCTTCTTTCCAGAATAATAATGTAAAATCTGAAGGCTATATAATATAAAGTCACTTGTAAAATCCAATGCAGAGGAATTATTTAAAATCACAAATGAAATAGAGTACAAACATAACTGAATATTAAACTCAGGAAGGGTGGCCTGACCACTGGACAGGTTGATGATGTGAATCTGGTTTTATTTAGAAGATATTCTCCATTTAATGATGCCAGTATGGTGTGATTTTAAACCATTTTGAAAGTAAGGTTCATGAGTACAACGTCAACACATTCAAATCCATTGAGATTTAAAGTACATACTTACTTCTCTGACTCCAGGAGGTCCAGTAAATGAGGTTCATCAGCCAAAGATGGTGAGAACAGGAACTAAGATTCCCTCACTTCCTGGGTCTGTGAAATCTCTAAACTTTAAGCTGCATCTACTTTGAAGCCATATGAAGAAAAGACTGATACCTTATCTTCTAAAAAATTAAAGTAGCAACAGTAGTCAATGAGGCTTTAATCCGGCTGAATCTAAGAAGAAATTTCTTTACTTTGGATGGAGTCTTGAGAGCTTCAGCTACATCTGGAAGCCTAAGAGAATGATAATAGAACGCTAAACATTTACATACATAATTTTCTGCAAGACCAGGGTAATAAGCTAATCTCTCTCTCTCTCTTTATGGATTGATTACACTCATTAAATTTGGTCTTGGAAGTTAAAGTGGTAAATTTTGAAAGACTTTGCTGAGTACTTGGTAGAAGGCTAGATGAAGGAGATCCTTTTGAAGACAATCACACTTTTTTCCATTAAAATAAAACAAAGTAGGACCCTCTTTTCAAGCAAATCAACTGAAACTATCAAAAAGCTTGGAGGGGTGTGTTGTTTTCACCATCTTAACTATAGCATTGTTAACAATTTGATATATGTATAATTTTATTTATCGTAATAGCATACGCAGAGACACTGGCAGGTGCTTTACCTTTTGGTAATTAGATTCTACTATTTGAAAACATGATACCCAAATATAGTTCTTGGAGAATGAATATGATTTTATATAAAGATGGGAATATCTTACAAATCTTGTTTGAAGGTCTTAAAGGTTAGTTTGCCCAACTACCTTTTTTTATGACCCAGGAATCCTATCCTTAATTTTTCTCAGGCCAGGGGGAAAATACAGCCCTTAGGATTTTTATTTTTTCTCTGTATTTTTCTTTTTGTTCTGTGAAAGGTACTAGCTGTGGTTAAATTATCACTTCAAGAGAGTCAATGTACTTTTCCCATGAAAATGAAATCAGAAAAGTAGAAGAAAGTAAATGTATTAAGCAACTATGATGACTAATTTGAGAATTCTATCATTTAACATTAATGGCTTGGGTTAAATGATTGAGAGTCATTACTTCTTGTAAGCAGGAAAAGCCTGATATCATCCATCTCCAGGAAATGCATCATTTTTTTAAAGAGTAAATTATTATTTACGGATTCCTGGATCACAGATCAATTTTTAATCCTAGGCTTTTTCAAATGCAGGGATGTAGCACTGTTATATCATAAAGCTAATTGTTTTCTTTTGAAGAGATCCCAAAGAATTTTAAAAGTAAGAATTTTATTTTTCACATCAATGGACAAAAGTGTTTGTGTGGACAGGAGCTAAAACATTTTTTTAAGTCCAAAACAAGTAGATAACATTCAGAAGCGGCTCAGATCTCCCTAATTCACTGAAGGAGGAGGAGGAGGTGCAGCACAGACATACAAGATTCAGTTGTTATAGCCAATCTCAATAAAAGTAGTTTTACCCTTCCTGTGGAGTTGATTTCTTGGTTTGGTCGACCTAGTGAGGCTGACAGGTAGACTACCAAACATAATTGCAAGACTCATCAGCAAGTAATTATATCTTCCAAGTTAACAAATAAAGTCAGTGTGGGGCATGCACAAATAGAGGAACAAAGCCAAGAAGTCATGCATATTTCAGACTCATCAATAGTTGCAGAATGCAAAGATGTACATATATTTTAAGCCATTTTTAATCTAGTCAATCAGCACTATTCTTTCGACCTAAGAGAGGTGGAATGTGTTGTCCAGTGACTTGGTTTACTGGAAAAGTTTTCTTTGTATAAAGTGTCTTTTATGTAAGGTTTACCCCGTTCGTCTAGAGAAACTCTTGTGACACGTGTGTTCAACAAAGAAGTTTACTCAAGCGTAATGTACATAATTACAGACAAATCCAGGACTGGCTTGGCACATCTTGCAATACAATTTATAGTTCCCCCGTTCCCACACTTTGCCCCACTGCTAGGCTACAAATTCCCTGCAGTGATTCCCCCCTTCACCGAAATGGCAGATTCAGTTCAGTTCTTTTGTCTCTTGATTGCTTTACACCGCTAGCGTGGTCGTGGTCTTCGCTGGTGCTTTCTGTTGCAGACAAAGCCGGGGTTTTTCCAATCATGCGCTGATCGCTTTGCTGCTAGCCACTGCTTAACCCTTTGTCTACGGCGCCCGAGGCTAATTGGCGTCGATACAAAATATCTGCTTTGCGGTTTTAGTTAAGCGGTCCCAGCTGGCCCATTAATCAGCTTGAGGTTTTCCCACTTCCCCTTTTTCCTTTGCTGGTGCTCGGGCGGTAGAACTGACTCAGCGCGGCTGGGCAAGTCCCTGCCGTCCGCGCCGGCTGAATCTGACATTTTAAAGTTCCATTTCTGCCCATGTTAGACCTGGAACATGGTCATGGGAGACTCTATGATGTTTCTTTTCTTACAGGAAGAGTTTTCCTACCAACAAGCTTTTCCATAGTTGAGGCTAGCCTTGCCCAGGTAGGAATGATACCTGGCCTACCTTAGGAAGCATGCTCACCTTTGCTAATCTTGCTACTCTGCACAGAGCAATGCCTCTTTTTTCCTAATCCAACAGGCTTCATTCATTGCTCTGAATGAAATGTAATCAGAATGACGTTTGGTGAAGGTCAACTTCCAAGGCTACTCATACATGTTTTCCTTGTTCCTGCCTCACAATGAGACACTTAACAAAAGCATTCACTTTGACACAGAAAAAGAGCCCTTTCATTAGCCTTTTAGACAGGCATAGCCTCAAAAATGCCTGAGGACTAGTTTGTTTCTTTTCTCTACTTCATTCTTTATCGACTAACACATTTAGTGTTCCCTTCAATTCTAACTAGCTTTGCAGGACCAAACTATGTGAAATGAGAAAATATGGCAAATTTGTTTAATTAGTACAGGTCACAGAATTCATCTGTTCTTGGCACAGAATTTGAATTACCTGCATGCAGTTTTAAAAAAAATAATAAGAGTACTGAACCATTGATGTACCACCTATTTAATCAATGTGGGTTAATTACCTACGTTTATCTAATGAATTTCTGCCCAGTCCAGTAATAAACATTGTTCAACTGCATAACATAATAGCAACCCCAGCATTTCAACTTTATTTTTTAACAGCTACATCTTACAGTTTATAGGTTTTACATCCCTTGTGCAGTTATTGTTCTGACACCACCTTTTGTTGATTGGATTTTTGATAAATATTTATTGAAAACCAAAATTACGTTAAAAAAAAAAATCACACACAGTTCATTGATGTGTTGGTATACATTTGCTATCTGGTGATTTCATCAGTCCATTGTTGGCAATGATTTTTGCATATTCAATAGCCGATTTATAAGGAACTCGAGGGAGTGCTGAACTTTCAAAATCTATATGGAAGAGCCCAAATCGAGAGCTGTATCCATAAATCCATTCAAAGTTGTCCAGAAGGGACCATACAAAGTAGCCTTTCACTTGGACACCATCAGTGTAAATTGCTAAAAAGAAGAAGGAAAGGAATCACTTTGTTTTAATTACATTTATATATCTCCCTTTTGTTACATAGAACAAAACTTAAAACAGTTTCCCCACTTAAGTATTGACCAGACCTTTAATTAAAACTCCTAGTTGCAAGTTCATACTTTGCTGCACCATAGATCTTTACATCTAATCTGAGAAAATCTCTCTACTTCATTGTTTAAAACATTGCAGATGGACCAGGAGTTCCAGGTTCAAGTCTCCACTTAAACATGGATTAAACTAGGTAACTATGGGCCGGTCATTCCTTCTCAACCTTCTCACAAGATAGTTCTGTATGGATAAAATGAAAGGAAGTCGCTCATGGAAGCCATCTTGAACTTCTGGAGGGGAAGGGGGATCTTCTAGCATCGCCATCACTATCCTCAACATCACCCCTGTTGTTGTCATTCAATATAAGCGAACAATATTAGCTCCAATTTAGCAAATGACAGGAGAGAAAAGTAATTACAATTCAGTTAACCCTGTTCACCAATAATAAAAAGAAGAGAAGCTCACTGTGCCAGTGAGTAGAAGACAAGCCTGACCCCTTCACAGTCACACTTGTTTGGCTCCCCCTGGATGGCTCTAATTTGGCAGAAACTCCCCAGAAACTCAACATGATGTAACCAGTAACAACATGATGTAACCAGTAAATGAGCTTTGTACATGAGGACTGAGCCCTTAAAAGACTGCTTTCTGACAAAAAGGGTTGCCCCCAAAATCTTACACCTCCTGAAATTTAATCTCAACCTTTTTCTTTCTATCTTTTCATGGCTTAATGGAAACTCAGTTTTATGCTTCTCATAGTCTGTGCAAGGTAGCAGTTGGTTATTTATATTATCGGCATTCCTGCCCTGGGAAATTTTCAGTCATCATCTCCTCCTCCTTTTTCTTCATCATTATCATCACCCCCTCCCCCACTTTTTAAAAAATTTGCAGTCACATTTTCCTTCAGAAAAAGAGGCTGAAGTTACTTTCTTGAAATCTGCATAGCATGTAGGAAGAAAGGGCGGCACATTAGAGCGAATTCAAGAGTTTTAGAAAAATATCATTTTATTTGCAACAAAAGATGCAAGAGTAGGCAATATTGGTGTGGGTTTGCTGAGTCACTGCTACAAAAAATGCACGTAGCCTTTGTTCGCACAACACAAGTAAGCCAGTCATCCTACAGTATTAGACACTCGTTTCTAGATAAAAATATCTGAAGATAATCCAGAGACTAAAATTTTAGTTGACATTTCACTTTTAGTGGATTGAAGGCTAATCAAATGGCTAAAACATCTTAGAGATCTTGAGCCCATACATTTATATTTAGAGAGGTGTATGTACTCTGTATATATCCACAAAGTTTTTTCCATATACATAATGTACACATGAAAAAGAAAAACAAAACAAAACCTTGTTGATATTGACCAAGCATCACCCAGAATTGAAATCACTATCTGGAAATGGGGTCAGTGGGGTAAATTTAGACTGAGGCTTAATATAGGGCTCCGAACTTGCTTCATTCACAATCTTGAGACAATAGAACAATTACATTCACTCCCCCAGTTCAGATTGGATACATTAGATGGATCAAGTCTACCAGATATAACTTCCTACTTACTGTTAGTGTGCACCAGGTGTTCACTACTTTCTCTGAATTTAAGTTGCTTGTCAACAAATTGAGTCAGGCCTACACACTCTACATATATTTATTTATTATTTATTTAAGACTACTTTTATATTGCATTTTTAAATTCAAACTATGTGGTTACATTCTTAAACAAATAAACCAATTAACCTATCTTAATGGAAACTTAATTGGGCATGCTATTAATTCCACAGTAAAGGAACATTTTGGTAACACTGTGATAGCGAAGTGGGAGTTCCACACCTCCAGCCTTATCAGGTAAGAAAGTCTGCTAGATCTCAGGGGACATGTGTGAGGCAGAAACACTGCCACTACTCCTGTGATTTCAAACAATTATGGAACCTCACCTGGAACACACAAAGATCAAGTACTAAAGGTTGACTTTCTAAAGAATGACAGGTGCATTTCAGGATCGTTCCATTTTTCTCCTTAAGAACTAAGTAATTTGACACAGGGTAAGACTACTCCCAGGCATTGCAAAAAAGACCAAGTCAACTCCAATCCTCAATATTTTTAAAGAATCCAGCAAGGAGACAGAAATGGCCAGCTGAATTTCAAATTAAAAGAAAGCATAGACTTTAGTAATTAACACATAACAGATCTATCTGTCCATCCATCCATCCATCCATCCATCCATCCATCCATCCATCCAAATGTGTATGCCTCCTCACTAGATGACTCAGCTTATCAGGAATCTTAACCTTTGTGGACACTTACAGGATGGATTCTCAAAGGACTACTCTCTGCTTGCCTGTTGCAGAAAAAGAGGCTCACCGGAAGAGAAATTTTCTAGGACTAGAGACAGGAGTAGCTTTCTGGAGGGAAATTAATACTGACCAATTAATGCACTGGATGACCAGATCAGGACATTACCATACCTGTTTAGCATAAGGTTGAGTCATGGGAAAGTCATCACAGAATGTAGATTCAGGTAGATTTGGGTCTAGTATGTCACCTATCCAGAGGAAGGGTCTCACAAGTGATGTGAGGGGGAGACTGGATCCATCATGAAACATGAAGCAAATATCTTATAACAATATAAGTTATGATATTCCAGGAAAGGCAGTCCAATAATGTAAGTTTTATATTTACATTTGATTTCATAGCACACTTATAGTAACAGAATCCATCTCCCTTTCTCACACACTACATGCACACCAAATGAACATTCACAAAAAGAATTGTCTAAGTTGAGTCTAATACAGCATGAGAAGAACACAACCCTCTGACATTATGAGACAATAAGCCACGGAGAACGCTACTGTATTGTCTGTGTGCGTACCATAGACAAAACAGTAGAGGGAACCTTACCATGTGACTTGTCAGCTTGATTTATGAGGTACCTAAATCTTGGGGGAAACAATCTTTTGTGTATTAAACCTCTGCTCAAAACAGTGCTGCATAGAAAGATAACTGAGGACGACAGGGATGGCTCTGGGTCTGCTGAAGCTGGAACAAATGTGATAAGAACCTGTGTTCCTACATTTCTTCTCTTTTTAAACCATCACAAATGGGAAGGGATGTTAAGGAAGCCAAATGTAAGAGAAAGGTGAGGCACAAAATAATATCCACTGTGAACTTTTGATGTACTGCTTTCTTGATGATAGGACTTTGGCTAAACATGGTGACTTCATGCCGATACTTTGATGAGAAAACGCGTCAGGAGCTCATTATTTCTCAGCCAAAGGCATGATTTCCCAACATCCTTAGTTTAAATTGCACACTCCTGCCATGGCACATCAGTTATTCAAACTCATTTTCTCCCATCCTTTTTGGGTCAAGTAGAAGATTCTTTAACTACATTTTGCCCTGGAAGCAGACTATCTAATTTAGAAATACAAAGGTTTCTTCTCTTTGGAGAATGGAAGTGGTTCAAGCCTTCCTAGGTCTGTAGTATGCAAAGCCAGAACTGTGTCATGCTACCCAGTTGAAGGAGGTGTGCTGATAAAAATAAAAAAATAAAAAACAGGTGGCTTATGGGATTCCTGTAAGGTTATGAAGGGGAAATATTCTATGAGATTTCATGTTATACTTTTAATTCTTCCTAGATATGCTCAGAATTGCATTAGAGGCTCCCTATGTTAAAAAGTAGAAGAGGAATGAGGAATAAGCAAGAAGGAATCTACAAATCCTAATCATTAGGATTAAACCAAAATTGAACAATCAGTAGAAAACCGTATGGAAGCAATACTACTTAAAATCAGCAATGCCCCACCATCAGTAAAAACCAACATTCATTGATCACATTCCTTTGCAGGCCAAATCCTATTAGGTTCAACTGTATAAGATTTAAATCTATGCTTCAAATGTTTAAAAGACCTAGGAGATTAAAAGATTGCCCAACATTAAAGCAATTAGCAGAACCAGTGCCAAGTGATCTTCCTGGGAGAGCAAGTTCCATAATGGTCTCTTCTGCTCACCACCTGCCTCAGCTCTTCTTGAAGAAAAGTACCAACAAAAGCCCTCAGCAGATTAATCTCCTGGGCCAGCAGATGTTGCCTTAGATCCCTAGTATGGAATTTTTAAAAGCAAATACCAGCATCTTGTATTGAGCTCAGAAGGCAATGGAGCTCCTTCAACACCTGTTCCCAGTGATTAATCCCAGTTGGAATTCTATCACTTGCATTCTAGGATTATCTGAATTTTTTGAGTTGTCTTCAAGAGCAGTTCCTTATAAATCATACTCTTTACAGGTATGAAAAACCAGTTTCATGAAAAGTGCTTGTGGCAGGCACCATCCTAGACAGAAAGACAGACAGACAGATAGATCAAAATAAGGAAAACCCCATCTGCAAGCCATAATTTGCTATGCAGATTTAACTGCCATGGAAGGAGAATGATGTGCTCTATCACTCATGTGACCTGATCATCCTAGGTAATGTGTCTCCAAAGAACTGTTGCATAGAAAGTTAGTTCTCTCTACTCCTGTGGCCATGTTCTCTGGTGACAGCTATGTTATTAATTAGCGTAGATCTATTTACATCCTGCATGCCATTAATCACTGTATCAGGAAGGTTGCCTAATTAACCAACCACCATGGGTGGTCACAACAGCCGAAAGAACCATTTCAAGTGTACAGCAAAGCACATCATTTGTCTTGTCTTACACATTAGCCATCTCTTTCTTGTGCCTCTCTCTTCAATACTTTCTTTCCCTGATCTCTATGTTAGCTTTATACCATGGGACACTCACTCTCTACAAGGACTTTTCATTCTTGGAGTACTATGACAACAATTTATGGGCCTTCACATCCCATTGACAGCTCCTTTGGTTCTTTCATTGAAATAACTTCTCCTTTCATTGTCTAGAGCTATTTTCTCAAGTTTACCTATTAATACCTTTTTT